TGTGGTTTAATGACATAGAACTTTTTGTTTTTAAGCCTAGAGTCCTTGCCGCCATTATACCTAAGGACTCTGGTTTCAAAAAGTTATTGTGCCTCATACCTAAAAGTCTTAATTTTTTTCCCAGTAGTACTCCATAAACTTTTTTATATTTTTAGAGCTCCTGGATACCAAAAACTATGAGAAAGTAATTTTTTTTGTGACATTTAAATCCGGTCTTTTTTGGGACTCCGCATCCCTGGGACATATACAGCTTCGTTGACCAAATAGATACAAATGAAAATGCTTTACAGAAATATGAAAACACTTATAGAGAGAAATAAAAGTATAATAGAACAAATCCAAGAGGAAAAACTCAAATTCTAAAAGGAAAATGGCGCAAATAAAAAATATCTAAACAAAATTGTTATTTCATTTATTTATTACAAATTTAATTGAAAATTGATTTCAATTTTCAAATTAGTTATTTTTTATTTTCTCTGTATTTTCTTTGTTGCATTTAGCCCTGTTACTAGAAATTTACTTACAGATATGCACACCAGAATTGCCTGTATGCAAATTATATAATTGAATTATATTATATTCATATTATGTAAAGATGACTGCAAGCAGGCACAAACAATACACAGGCAGGGTGTGTCTTCCTGTAGTTACAGGTTGGATTGCATTTAATGTTTTTAATTTTGCACCACATAATAATGCCATTTATTGATTCATACTTTCTTATTTCAACATGGACCAAGTCAACTTCTACTTTAGCCTTTCAAAATTACCATAAAATGAATGCCTGTATAATTGGTGGGGTGCTTACAATTACACCTGCTCTGATAAAGACACTAACAAGTAGGATTTGACTATGTCCTCAATGAAAATTTTGTGCGCATCTCCTTCATCCATTAAAAGAGAATGTCTGTTCAGCACAATGGGAAACATATTTGAAGCCAAAACAAATACGCTGTTGCGTGAATGAAAAATAGATTGCATGAAAAAAAAAATTGTGCTTTTGAACTATAATTTGCCTGATTTCTAACAATAGATAATTAATTTAAACACATTAAACTAATAAATATAATAACAATAACTTCCGTCATTTGTAATTAGTAATTGCTAAATAGTAATTTTATCATACTTCGAGGTATGAACTAATGTATACTAAACATTGTTTATAATATAGTTTTAAAGTGTAGACTTGATTATGTTGACAATAAGCCAAACTAGTTTTATAATTCACACCCTGATTAAACTATTAACTTGTAATTAGTTATTACTAATCAACTAGTCATTTTTTCATATAACATTAAACTTGTTCAAACAAGGAATAGCTGCATCCTAAAATCCTATGATATTGCATAATTTAAAAAAAAACTTGATGATTTGTGGTGGTAATGAAATACATTGCGTGTTGAATTATATATAAGTACAGTACATATATTTTGCAATATACAGTACATATTATAATTGCAGTAAAATGTTAAAAATGTTTTTTAACAGTTAGTATTACCCCTAGTTAGCTAGATCTGCAAGATAGCAAATTTTACCCATGTAAGTGCAAAAGCTTTGACTTCAGCAGAGTGACTTCAGCAAAATCTTAGCTTCAGTACATCCCTAGTTTTTATATTATTAAAACGCATTTAAATAAAGTAACAAATCACAGCTTATGATTTTTTTTATAAAGTATTAATGAATATCATATACATTTTTTATATTTATATAAGTATGTATTTTTTATTATAAATGTCTTTAAATAAAGAAATTATATCAACTTTTTATAGAAAAAATTTAATTCTTCTTCTTTTGTTAACATCACTGAAAAGAATTGTTAAGAACATTTTTTATAACTTTTAATTGTGCGTATTTATATAACAATCAATCATATATACTATAAAAATAAATTTTCACGGATATTTACAAATAGTATTGAAATGCTAATCTCAAATATATTGCAAATATGACTAAATAAATAAATAAAATATAAATAGAAAAACACTGCAAATCAAAGCGAAACTAAAGCTACAAACATTACAAACAAAAACTGAAAACTATTTTAAGTACTTTTATAAAAAAAAAAAAAAAAAAAAAAAAAAAAAAAAAATAATAATAATAATAATAATAACTTAGTAAAACCAACACTGTAGAATAAAATTATTTTTTATTCTATTTTCATTACTTTTTACTTATTATCTTTCAGAGATTTCATTTTCTTTTCTTCTTTTAAAATATTCATTTATTCTTCATTTATTCATTTTTGTTGATTTTATTTTTTGTTTAATTTATAAATGTTTTCTTTCTTTCTCTTTAAAAGTTATTTCTTTAACAAACAATCATTAGATGTAAGTTGTTACTTTATTTAAAAGTGTTTCACATAAGATTATATCATAAAAACATTAGTAAAAATAAATGATTTAAAGTTATTTATTCCAAACATAATTTATCCCTCGCATTTAGGAAAACTGAGGTCGGCAATAATTTGCCGACCTCAATCTTTTTGAGGTTAGCTTTTATTATTATCATTATATTTTTTTTTGTGATTCTTTTTTATAAAGATTTACTTGCTTCATTTAGGATAACTTTTTTAAGTTTCTTTATAGTTAAGTTATAATTTTTAAAACATCTTGACAGCCGTGGTCAAGTATTCAAAATTAATAGTATTTGCGTGGTCATATTATAGCATGAAATTGCATTCCTTCCTGGTCAAGCCTGAATTATATATGCTAAGAAAACCATTTATGCAGCTCTGTTTATTATGTTCTCCAACTTTTATTCTGTTGCAAGCATTATGTGCTTTAAAACATTTTTAGTATTGCAATGATATATATATATATATATATATATATATATATATATATATATATATATATATATATATATACATATATTTATATATATATATATATATATATATATATATATATATATATATATATATATATATATATAAAACTTATATTGCTAGTTTAGATGAGCACTCTAACATCACACTGAAATAACCTGCTGCCGGGGCATACATCGACTGACAAATACTCTTTGCTTTTGTTTTCTAAAAACGTGGTATACTAATAAGATAAGCAAAACTAGTTACCAAATGCTTACCTAAAGGCTATAGATAATATATATGTATGTGTGTATATATATATATATATATATATATATATATATATATATATATATATATATATATATATATATATATATATATATATATATATATATTATTAAATGCTTACATCAAACATGATGTAAGCATTTAATAAGCCTAATTACTAATGTTTTAATTTTGAAAATACTAAGCTTTTTGTAATTATAGATTAAAAATTGTTTAAATTATTTTAAACATTAAATAAACATTAAAATTAAAATTACTAAAATATAGTTACTTAATGTTTAAAATACTTTAAACAAATTTTAATAAACATTTACAAATAGTCTAGTATTTGTAACTTCGAAGTTTATAAAAATATTAAATAAAATAGTTTATATGTCAACCACTAAATAATGTATTTAAAGAAATGCTTTTCGCAATGAAATAATATTTTAAATTAACTACTTATTAGTTAACTATTTAAATGGAAATAATATTTTAAATCAACTACTTATATTTGAATAATAAAGAAATAAAGAAAGTGAACAATAATAATAATAAATAATGAATAATAAATAAATTGGATAATAAGAATAATAAAAAGGTGAAAACAACTAAGTGATATTTAAAAATCATAGTTGCAGAACCAGTTTTGACTGAGATATAGGGTAGGGGAGGAGAGTGGTGAAAGCGGAGGGAAGGGGATATTATTGAACATTCAATAACATCCCAATAGAGGATGTTAAAGACCATTCACCCCTCTCTGTGTCCCTAAAAATAAAATGGTATTCCTAAAAAATACTCTGTGATTGGTTATCAATGGAGCAAAACTACATGTCTACTTTTTACAATTGTAATTTATAAGTTTGCAAAATTGTGCAAATATAATACTTTTTTTTAATTGATTTCATTTCAAAAAGATACATCAAGAAGTTTTCTTATTTTTTTCTGGTTATTTTTATTCTTATTAAATACAAATAATTATGGCGTAACTGAACTTTGAATTTTAAATGTATATAACAAGAGTTCACTCAAATGCTTGTTCTCTCAATATTTTATATTTATTAAAATGTTTATTCTTTTAAAAAAGGTAGAGACCTTTTTTAACCTGCCTTAGACCTGCCTTAGACCTTAGACCTTAGACCTGCCTTAGAGTTTGGTAGATTAAGTACCTCTAAATCAATTCTTTTAAGTTTATTTGTAAACGCAAGTATTCAAAATTCAGTCATATAGTTTACCTTCAAAATACAATGACAACTTTAGAAACTTTTATTCTATTTATAATTTATATATGTATGTGTAAATTATATATATATATATATATATATATATATATATATATATATATATATATATATATATATATATATATATATATATATATATATATATATATATATATATATATATATATATAATTTATACATAATGCTTACTAAGTTGAACATAAAATATCCCTGATGAAAACGTCATACTGAAATAGCCATAGGCTAGGGCTTCAGGGCGGAGGTGTACTTGATTAATGGGGTTAGGGAAGGGTGGTATAGTTTAGTTCGACTTTATAAAAATACAATTGCTTTAATGCACGTGAATCTAATAAACCCACTTATTATATAAATTAAATTTATTATGATATAAAAAATTGACTTATTTTTTTTTTTTTTTTTTTTTTTTTTGTTTATTTAAAATAAGTGAATGGATTTAAGTGCACATATCAAAACTTAAAGTGTATATGATATAAAGTACTATGCAGACAATATCTCAAACAACAATATAACAAATGCTAACAAGTTAATTCCACAGAAATCAGAGAAAAACTATTTAGAAATATAGATGTTGAGTATATAGTAAATGTATAAAATATTTGTATAAAAGATTAATAGCACCACATAAACAAAGAAGTACTTTTTCCTTAAGATTTTACCTGAAAATTATTATCTTTTAATGCGTTCATAATTCTATAATATACGTAAATATGATCCAAGAATCTTCACTTATTTTTTATTTTAACTTTATACAATTCACTTATCAATACACTGCAACGCTATTAAAATCAAAAACTAACTATGATAAACATTTGTCCAATTTTTGTAAAATGGCGCTGTAATCGTTTACAAATTACTTCTTGAATCCTATTGGTTTAAATTTAACAAATAAGCGTTTCTCACTGGATCAGAACTCTTTTAAAAAGACAATTTAATTAGCTCCGTAAAATTTGAGCCGTACAAATGTAAAATTCGCTAGACAATGGAGGAATAAAACAGATGGAAGTTTCAACCAAATTGAACATCCAGATGCAAGTTCAACCGCATTTCAATTCCATCTGAAATTTCAACCAAATTGAAATGTAATTAAATTTATATCTTGATGTCAAAACTGTACTTAAACGCTTACTTTATAGGTTAACGCAAATAGATACGTTCATAAATTTATTTTTTTTTTATGCATCTTGAAGCGAACAGACGCGTTAAGGTGGCCTATAACGCAACTAGGGATGGCAAAAATCCCGGAAATTATCAATCCCGGGATTTCGGGATTGAGAAATTTGTCCCCGGGAAATCCCAGGATTGAATAGAAAAAAACGCTACGAATACTTTTTTAAGAACTCATCAAACATTTAAAAATGATTAGTTTAGTCATATTATAACTAAAATATTCAATAAATTAATGAACCTAAAATTAAGTTACAAACATGTTTTGACTTAAGGTGGTACTAAAGCTAATATTAAAATGTTAAATAATGTATTAAAAAGTTGCAAATAAGAAGTTTTATATATAAAAAACTAAAATATACAAATTTTAAAATAATTTGGGGTCATTTATTTGCTCCAAAACTTTACCATAGCACAGGTCCCATAACGACAAAGGAGTTGTACTAGAATCATCTACTGTATGCATATAGTTTAGGAGTAAACTTTACTCCTAAACTATACGCATACAGTAGATATATGCATATAGTTTAGGATTAAACTTTATTCCTAAAATATATGCACTCAGTTGATGATTCTAGTACAACTCCTACATCATTATGGGACCTATGTTATTGTAAAGTTTTAGAGCAAATAAATGATCCTATCTTGAGATATTGCATTCTGCATATTTTTTTAATGTGTTTTTAGATTTGGGTAAACGAGGCAACAAAAAATTTTATTTACAAATTATTTTAAAATTTGAATATTTTAGTTTTTTCTGATTTTTTTTAGAAAATTATATTTTGCGAAAATACTGTCATATGTTATTTTAAAGCTTATTTTTTGCTCTATCTGTTGGTATACCTCAGGCCCTTAGCAACCAGGTGGGCACCACCTGGTTGCTACGGGCCTGAGGTATACCTTTTTTTAGAGTTTTTTTCTATTAAAGTTAGTTTAATAAAATAAAAAAACTTCAATAGAATGTATACCTTCTATTAAAAACTTTTATTAAAAACACTTGCTCTTTCCAGCAAGCGCTAAAATTTTATTTATTTTTATACTACTTTTAATATTATACTATATATATATATATATATATATATATATATATATATATATATATATATATATATATATATATATATATATATATATATATATATATATATATATATATATATATATATATATATATGTATAATGGACAATTAACGCATCTAGCTGTTAAATTGCACATCTAGCTGTTAAATAAATATTATATAAAATAAATATCTGATAAAGAAAATTCAATTACTGAATGGACGGATAATTTTTTCGCTCACTATATATATATATATATATATATATATATATATATATATATATATATATATATATATATATATATATATATATATATATATATATATGTATATATATATATATATATATATATATATATATATATATATATATATATATATATATATATATATATATATATATATATATAGTGAGCGAAAAAATTATCCGTCCATTCAGTAATTGAATTTTCTTTATCAGATATTTATTTTATATAATATTTATTTAACAGCTAGATGTGCAATTTAACAGCTAGATGCGTTAATTGTCCAAACAAAGAGTTATCAGGATTGACTAAGGCATCTTCAAATTTTTTGCGGCATTTAAAGGTTATCTCAACTTATATGAAGTATTTACTGTATTGGAACTTTAATACACCTGTACATGACATACAAAATATTACAAATTTACACGTGTACATTACCATTTACCAGTAGTGAGTTAATAATAGTAACATTGCAGCATTTAAGTCACTACCTCACTAGTATTGTGTTAATAAATACAGATTAATGAACAAAAAAATTATTTTTCTTTTGTGTATTTTTATTTAAAGTCTCTGATTAAATGAAAGAATGCATTTTATAATTTTTTTTTAAATTATTAGTTATGCATGCTGTAAGCCTAAGTTATTTTGCTTTATAAAACCTTTCATCTAGACCTACACGTGCATGTTCACAAGAATGAAGGCTGTAATGAATTATTAAGTCATTATGATGACCATTTTGCATTTGAGTACATTTCATAATTTTCGTTGCTTTAGACTAATCATCCAGCAGCTGAGAAAGCATATATAAAGTACAAAGAAAGTGTTGTTGTGAATGGCAAACGAAAAAGTGATGATGACTTGTCCGAAGCACAGCCAGTGCAAAAGAAATTGAAGTTTGGTTCAGCAAGTGTTTTGTTTCACACAGTTTCACAACGAGAAGTAGATGAGTTGGTTTTGAAATACGTTGTTGCCTTTCTGAGTTCTTTGCACACAGTTGAGATGGACTCCTTTACAAACTTAGTTCAAGGGTTAGCACCAGGCAGAACTGCAATGGCAAGAACAACATTAAGAACACGAATTGCAAATGCATATTCTGAAATGGTGGGAAAGATGATGCAGTATCTTGATGGTGTGCAGTTTGTGTGCACAACTGCAGATATTTGGTTATAAAATAGAAAAGGTTTCTTGGGAATGACAATCCACTGGATTTCAAAAGGAAATGTGCGACAATCCCGAGCATTAGCATTACGCTGCATTACTGGAAGTCACACTTTTGACAATGAAGCTCAACTGATTTGCGCGATTCATGAAAAGTTTGAGCTTGATGCAACAAAGGTAGTGTGTACAGTAACTGATAATGCTAGCAATTTCAAGAAGGCCTTTGGCACACTCCAGATTTGTAAAGACAGTGATGATGAGGAAGATGATGACATAGAGAGTGATAAGCTGACGACAGTAGTGGATGTTGTTGAAATTTTAAGCAAGCAGGATGACAGTAATGATAGCATTATTCATTTGCCAAAGCTCTTATGCTGTACTTGTCACAGCTTGAACCTGGTGGCAACAACAGATGTTGAAGCAGGTAAAATTGGAAGCCAGCAGTACAGTCAAATTTATCACGTGACCATGGGGAATTGTCAGGGATTGAGACCATGGGGAATTGTCATGGGGAATTGAGAGGAATTGAGAAGAGATTCAAGGATTTTTTGGCACTAGATTTGCAGAACATCTGTGATCCTTTGGTGAAAGAAGCAGTACTGGCCGCAATCTCTCACCCGCTTTACAAACTAAAGTGGGTGCCGCCAGAGAGACGAGATGAATTTAGTCAGTACTTTGTCAATGGCATTAGCAGGTTAGTGCCAGTACACTCATATTTCTCTGCATATACGTAAAGTGTTTTTAATATTTGTCATTTTTCTAATTTACTATGAACACATCAACAGCACTTGTATTATGATTTGTACAGTACTTGTATTTTGATATGACTTGCATTACTCTGCTTTATTTGTATTATTTAATTTATTATATTATATTATTATTATATTATTTATTTATTATTGTATTTACTATTTGTATTATACTGTACTTGTTTTATTATGTTTTGAACAGAATGAACATGCCGAACAACTCAACCACGGCATAGGCAAACAAGTCACTAACTGAACCTTCAGATGATAACGACTATGGCTACGATGAAGATAACCTAACGCTTTCTTCATCTGCAGACTCTGACACCACAAACAGCCTGAGGCTCCAAGCAATGACTTATTTGTCTGACGCCACTCTGACGCTATCATCCCTCCAGACGTATCCAGCTGTACAGGCCGCGTTTGTGAGATATAATACATCGTTGCCTTCATCAGCAGCTGTTGAGCGCCTGTTCACTTGTGCGGGACTCATCGCAAGTAGTCGGCGTAATAGACTAAATGACCTTACATTTGAGAAACTGTTGTTGTTAAAATCAAATGGATATTAATACTAGTATGAACTAAAAAGTAAGAACGATGCATTATTAAGTTGACAGGACTATGTTCAATTTTCCTGACTGTCATGTCACAAGTAAATGTTAATGTAATAAATTAATAAAAAAATTTTGAATTTGAATTGAATGGAAATTAGTGTCAATGAATTTGAATTTGAATTGAATTCATTCTATTTTCAACGAATTTGAATTTGAATTCAATTCGTTTCATTCTAAGTGAACTTGAATTTGTTTTGAATTCATTTTAAAAGTGAATTGATCCAACACTGATATATATATATATATATATATATATATATATATATATATATATATATATATATATATATATATATATATATATATATATATATATATATATATATATATATATATATATATATATAAAGAGAGAGAAAGAGAGATAGAGAGAGCGAGAGAGAGAGAGAGAGAGAGTAATATTATATTTTATATGTTTGATCCTACATATTTTCTAAACAACCAATAATGTTTTTATTTTTTATTTTTAATAAAATACAGAAAAAAAATGTTTTAAAAGGAAAACATGTCAAAGAGAATAAACAGTTACTTAACCAAATAAACTACTATACCAAAGACAATGTACAAATTACTTAATTACAATTATAAGCTTAAACTATATTAACTTTTACTTTTTTTTGACAATCCCGAAATCCCGGGAAATTTCGGAGACAAATCCCGGGATTTCAGGATGAACAATTTGTACGATATCCCGGGATCCCGGAATTGCCATCCCTAAACTTAACCTAATTTTGAAATTTCGTAAATCGCAGATTATGATGTTTTTAATTTTCAACCGACAATTTTTGATTTTTATATTTACACCTAATTAAAACATGTACTACTAATTTTCCAACCTACCAAATGGTTGACCTTTTGTATTTTTAACC